GATGGATGGGTGGATGAATGCATGGGTGGGAATTGATGGATGGGTGGATGAATGCATGGATGAGAATTGATGGATTAATAGATGGATGAGTGGTGGTCAGTCGGTTATCTGCATGGTCGGTCGGTCAGTAGTAAATTGGTTAGCAGCTGTTTAACCTTTAGTATTCCTTATTATCTCTATAGAGGCCAAGAAGCCAACCGATTGTGGGTTGTTTGGATGTTGTTGGAATGGTGTGCCTGCTTTGAGTCCAGATTACAGGGATTGTCAACGTAAGTACCTTATCCACGTGACCGTAACCGCGAGTTACATAACACTAGTATACTGGCAGTTTCGAGTTCTTTGTTACTCAGGATTAGCTTCCATGGTGTGTTCAATGATTCATGTGTTCCTGTAAAGTGTTTGTAATTTTGGAGTGCGTATTCATTCTTCAGAGTATCTTTGTTATTTGTGAATATTTGCATGCAAAAAATCAAGACAATACAGCGGTATATGACGAACTCGAAAAAGATCTGTCATGATTTTGAATGTCCTTTCATTCTTTTTCAGCTTGCAGGGATATATCATCGCACTTGTGCAATCAGTTTAGACATGCCTGTCTTCCCATTGGTCAGTACCGCCTGCGTGAGTTTGCATTGACAAGGTGTCCTAGGACTTGCAATCTGTGTGTGTAGGTATGTATCGACCTTCAATACTGAATACACAGGCAGGCAGGCAGGCAGGCAGGCAGGCAGGCAGGCAGGCAGGCAGACTAACAGCTGTACCCTGTACAGCCACTCCACCCTTATTTATTTAGGTCTCTTATTGAATCAATACAGAACAATTTACTACGAGTAACGAGATGAGTAGCTGGACAGGACGGATCATTATCAAGATGAATAACACAACAAGTTATCTTATAGATCTGAAAGGTTTAATAAATGGTAAAGAAGCTAAGAAGTAATGCTTTCCTTTTATATTAGGGGCAGATTCTGTATTTTAGTTTGCTTGGGAAAATGGTTCCAAGTAGCGATTAGCAAAGCCATAATATTCAATGAAATGGGTGGTGCTCTGATATTATCCGTGTACATGAAACATCCTATAAACAAAGACATGATACTCAAGGGAATGAATGATACACATAAAAAATCATCCTATAAACAAAGACATAATATTCAAGGGAATGACTGGTGAAATTTTACCATACAACCTTTTTTGATTCATTCTTCCCTTTCATTCGCTAGTCCCCTACTCACCCCTCACCCCCTTATTTGTTAATAAGGATTGATACTAATATCCTGCCGCCCAGGAGTATTTACGAGGGTCGGACACACCGTATATACGTCCATCCACTTCCCTATTAATCGCTTGTACTACTGCGTACGATTTTTTCACGATTCGATGCCCAAGAGCTTTTAGGCCATCTTGGATGGGTTGGCGTAAGATGTAAGGGTCTACGGTCTCGATGTTTATTTCGTTTGGAATCCATTGATGATGCAAACGAGGTTCCTTGACTGATGTTAGGAGGGTTTTATTGAACCACATTTTACTCATGAATACCTGGAACAAAAGAGTTTTAATTTTAGACTGCTGTTTTTGATAGAGCTCGTAGATCTGATGCAAAATGTTTATAGTTTGGATGGATGGATGGAAGGATGGAAGGAGGG